TTGGTCTTACAAATGATTTATAAAGGGTATTTGTCGTGTCAATATAGGTAAAATATAGTTCTTTGATGCCCCAGTGTCTATTAAAAATTTAAGTTTCTCTTTTATTAACGGAAGCTGGGAGACTCCTCTAAAAAATGAACTGTTTCAAATTTTTAATCCCTTTCATCCTCTATTTCTGTGACAGCTGTGAATGCTGCGTGCTCATAAGCAGAATCTGAAGAATTCCTGAAGAGGTCCTCTTTAGCTATCTCATTGACTCTTTCACGCCACTGTCCATCCAAACTATTTGATATTTTCAACTTTTTATAATTACTGTTTTCGAGCGGCTAATACTCTTTAACTGTATACCTATTGGCCGTGCTGCCGGTGAAAGTTTGTCTGAGAAAGTTGCAAAAATCTTGGATCTACAACCAATTTTGCAACCGGGTCGTGAACATTATTTAAAAGTTTGGGCTTTGGTTTTGCCTTTTTTCTACCTTTTAGTCACCTTGCATGCTGATGCTGGTAGTCTTCAGGATACTATTTATAGGTGGCAACTCTTTGGGCTGAGCGGAGAAAAGAACATCGGTAAGGTCCCTTCAATGTACACGTACTGTGCCAGATAGACATCATACTCCTTGATAGTTTTCATTGTTAAGGTGAGCTTCTTCTCAGCCTTGTCATAGAATGGCCGCTTTTCGGAATACGTAAGGGTCAATCTAGCTATAATGACATCAAGATTAAATTTTGTGCTGAAAGAGGCTAGCGTCTTGTCAGCTGTGCTTACACATGTTTCACAACACCAAAAGAAATCTGGATTAATCATCGCAAAAAACACGAAATGTTCGGGAAAATTTATACGTTTTCCAAAAATGTTACATTTTCGGAAATGTTTAAGAAATGTGGTCAGTGAACACAGGCTATTATTTGATTTTTTACCTAATAATGGCGTGATTATCTTATGATCTACATGCGGCCTTTGCCGCTTACCCCCAAGACACATAGTGTTCGATTCTGGGAGTCCTTACAATGGAGTGAGTTTCGTCGCAACGAACACCTGTTTCCAGTGTCACATCTTCATACATTTCTACATCAGGTTCCGAGATTGACTCCTATTGTGTTTTGGTTTGTAAGCTCCTTTATTTTGCTATTAAACTCGTCGTTTTGGAGCTTCAATAGAAATATTTTTTTGCGTGGCGTAAATATTCATATTCATTATGGCTTTAATCGATATTATAAATATTTCTAAGGCTATCTCGACGTCCGGTGTTTTTTATTCAAAACAAAAAAGAAACACAAGGTACTTGTATTTTCATCATGTTTCAACTGTACTTTGACAACCGTCTTCAGGGCAATAGCACAAAAACAAAAAACAATTAATTTAAATTAAATTAAACAATTTAAATTTGTTTTACATATCTGCACTCTTTGACGTGGGGGTTGAAACTATTTAAAAATTCAATACATGTTTGTATATATGAGCGCAGTTTCGGTGTCCGTTTTGTAGTTTAGCCGCTTGTTGTTTGGTGTGTTTATTATTATTTATCTGTCGTTTTAGTGTTGTTCTTGTTGTAGAATTGTCATCGTATGAAATTTATTGGGTGTTTGCTTTTCATACAGTGGGTCATTAGCGCTATTTTTTATACCCTGAACCCATTAAAAATGGGTATAAGGGTATATTGTATTTGTGAAAAATCCAAATGTATGTAACAGGCAGAAGGAAGCATCTCCGACCCCATAAAGTATATATATTCTTGATCAACATCAATATCCGAGTCGATATAGCCATGTCCGTCTGTCTGTCTGTCTGTCCGTCAGCCCGTATGTATGAACACAAGGACCTCAGAACCTATATGAGCTAGAGACTTGATTTTAAATGTAGGTGCTCCTAGTGTCTGGCCAGATCGAGTTTGTTTCCGATAATCGATAGCTTACTCCGTTTCCAAGCAATCGATAAAAATAGATATCGATATTCTGTTTTTTGGCAATTTCGGTAAATAATAAGAGCTAGAGTCACCAAACTTGACATATAGCTCTTAAAACAGAATATATATATGCATTTGATGTTGGAAGAAGAGGTTTCAGGGTATCCCCTAGTCGGGATCCCCCGACTAAAACCTCTTGTTGTATATTGTTTTGATGTCTTAATTTGAAGACAAACTCGTTCTGAGTTATTGTTGTTATACCCTAGCAGAGGGTAGTATAACTTTGTCCATATATTTTTGATCAGTATCAACAGCCAAGTCGTATTTGTATGTCCGTCTGTCTGTTTCTATTCGAACTAATCTCTCAGCTTTAAAGCTATCTTTATGAAGTGCTTCTTGATATTGCACGCAGAACATATAGTGCCGCTCAACTGAATAGGTTTAACTTCTTTTTTAGACTTAGAACATAATATCTTCATAACGAGCACTCGATATAAACCAAATAAATTTTGTTAAGCAAAACGATCAATTATTTATAAAATACAAAAGTTTTTTTTGAAAATCTACATAATTTTTGGCTCAAGTGAATAGGTTTGACCAACAAAACTATAAAATAAAATTATTCACAGCAATATTTCATGGCAAGCCACGGTCGCGTTGTCCTGAAATTGTCTTCCCCCAAATGTTCTCGATAATATTTATGTCTGTGGAGTATGGCGGCCACTCGAGCAAGTTGACATTCTGGTCCTTAATCCACTGTTTTGTAACCCGGGCTGTATGGATGGGGACGTTGTCTTGTTGGTACGTCCATTGTATAGTTCCAAAAATTTCGGAAAACTGGGGAAAAGCCTTTGGAGCACAGTCTTGAAGGCATTTGCATTCATCTTTGAGGAAACAAACTGCAGCTCACAAGTTCCATAAAACGATATGGCACCCCAAACCATTACGCCTCCTGTACAGGAGTGATGACGACTCAAAAAGCATTCCTCTTTTAGCATATGGTGAAAATAATAGTTGTAGCCATCCGGTCCGTCGAGATTAAACTTTTTTTCGTCGGAGAAGACCACAGCCTTCCACTCTTTGTTCCATGTCATGTGATCCCGCGTAAATCAAAGTCACGCTTCCTTCCATGCATCATTGAGAGGTTTTTTTTTTTTTTATTTTTAATCTCTTTAAGTGTTTAGCACTCCGAATAACTCGTTTTACCGTTGCCAAACTAGCATTTACACCGCATTCATCCCTGATTTTACTGGCAGAGAGGTGGGAATTCGAAGCAGTTCGAAGGATTAGTCGCCTCTCTGATGCCGTTGTAGCAGATTTTTTTCCTCCTTTCATTTTTTTTCCCATAATCGGCTTCATTACGAAGGAAGTTGCTTACCACGTTTTGGCTTCGACCAATCTTCTTTTATATTTCATTATGTTTTAGGCCAGATTCAATATAGCATTTAATTTGTCCTTTTTCAAAATCGGTTATTGATTTTCCCCGATCCATATTTAAAAAAAATGGCAGCAATTTCTTTAAATTTAAGTAGACCAAAGAAATTATATGTTTTTAATCACGCAGTCAATCAAAAAATTAAGTCAAAGTTGTCAAACCTAATCAGATGAGCCAAAAATAGACCATACATTTAGCGAATTTCACGATGAATGCAAAATTCTGATTTACCGTTGCATAGAACTCGTTACATTTTTTTGTCATATTATGATTAAACAAATGAATGTTCAAAACAAAAAAGGAGCGAAGGAAAAAATGCCATAGGAACAAAGAGAGAATTAAAAATAGAAGAAATATTTTTCAAACCTATTCAGTTGAGCGGCACTGTTGGTCGGAACCAACAAGATCGGAACGATAGCCATATAGCTGACATAGAAACGGTCGGTCTAAAAGTAGGTTCTTGTTCGAAAAACTTTTTTGTTTCCCAAGATATCTTTACCAAACTCGGCATTTATTAGTTTTACTAAGCTCTTTATATACTATATACTTTACATACGGACTTCTCTATCATATAGCTGCCATAGGGGCTATCGGTCGAAAATAATGTTATTGCATGGAAAACTTTTTTGCTTTACAAGATATCTTAACCAAACTCGCCAATTAGAAGTTTCCTGAGTGTATGCAAATTTTTATTTACATCGGACCACTTATCATATAGCTGCCATAGGAACAAGCGGTCGAAAACTAGGTTCTTGCATTGAAAAGTTTTTGTTTTTCCAAAATATCTTAACCATACTCATCATTAACTATTTTCCCCGCGCGTTTTTTTCTCCGCAACACGGTATTTTGTATATAACGTAACTTTGGTCTCTCCTTGGTTTTTTCGCCTTCTTGTTGTACCCTACAGATTTCGTGAGGCGTTCGGATAATCGTGGTATGTAAGAGATTTGTATATTTTAGTAGACTGTGTTGGCTTCTGTGTTCTGATTTGCCTTTTGAATAAGTTTCTAATTATATTCTGTGGGAAGTCATTAAAAGTAAAGTTGTTTAAATTTCATGTTCGATTTCTTTGTAGAATATTGTGTCCGATATGTTTTTTATGCTTCTAATATAGTTAACGGATGCATTTATCATAATACTTTTTGGGTGGTAAGAGTTAAAGTTCAGTTTTCATCCAGAGGCTATGGGTTTCTTCTGCGTTTTTGAAGAGCGAGAGACATTACAACGAAACACGACAAACTACGAAATTAACGAAACCTTGATTATCAGACAACACTTAAAGAGAATGGTTTGTAGACAAAACGAAAGCCGATTTCCCGCCAAACATAGAAACGTTGCTTGCGAAAGGGCCAAACTTGACACTCCCGATTAATAAAAAAGAATGTCGTCTCTTAAGATGTGTTGCGGACGGGGAAGAATTGGTACAGACGACAAAAAAATAAAAAGACGGCACGCACTTAATTATCTTTATTAGTTCAAGAATACAAAGCTAAGAATAACCAAGGCACTAGGGATCGAGCAATACTGGACACAGTGAAACAGATACGTAAATTCTTAAGAGAAAATAACAATACCAATAGACAAGGGCAATAAAACAGTACCAATGAATATGAACGATTACAAAAATAAAATGACAAATATCTTAGTAGACTTATGTGAGTATAGAACACTATGACAGGATTCAACATCAAGATTACAGACAAATAATAATAGCCTCGTGACACAATTTTTTGTGATCGGACTAATTTCAAACGATGAAAGAAATAAGATGATTACTACCACAGCGGTACCTCCGAGGAGATATGGACTACCCAAAATGCACAAGAAAGGACGCCCCTGAAACCAATATGCTCCTCTATCTGTTCCCCATCATATGGATTATGCAAGTATATTATACAAATATTAAGAAACTTTACAATATACCTAAATACAACATTAAAAATTCGTTAAGGTTCAAGGGCAGAGTCAACAACACCAATATCAAGACGATATATTAGTATCTTTTGACGTAATATCAGTGTTTCGCAAGTACTGGACACAATCGGCAAAATTGTGTTTCGTTTTTGTCTTCAATAAAAGCCAAGGACCTCGAGTCATCCAATCAAATATTTATATTATGGCTTTATTTTGAATATTAAACAATAACACAGACAATATTATTAAATTTAACTATTGGCAATGACGCAAAAATATTTTATTATTCTTTTTTATTTTATTTTCTGTCGGGATTTTTAACATAATAATAGTTAAGATTTTTACTTTTACGTCTTACTGGCTTAATATAAACGCCTTAGTGGATAGTTTCGAATTCTTACTTATCAAAACATTGGATGCTTTGGACTTTGTTGCCGCTGCCCAAAGCTGTTGGGTTAATGATAATGGAATTTGTATTTTTGTATTTGAGCAAAATGTAAATGGATGTAACAGGCAGAAGGAAGCGTCTCCGACCTCATTAAATATATATATTCTTGATCAGCATCAATGGCCAAGTCCATCTAGCCATGTCCGTCTGTCTGTTCGTCCGTATGTCCGTATGTATGAACGCAGGGATCTCAGAACCTATTAGAGCTAGAGACTTGAAATTTTAGATGTAGGTGATCCTGGTGCCTGCGCAGATTGAGTTTCGAATTTTCGATAATCGATAACTTACTCCGTTTCCAAGCAAGCGATACAAATCTATATCGACATCCTCTTAATTGAGCAAATAGGGTAAATATTAAGAGCTAGAGTCACCAAACATGATATGTTGCTTCTAGAATATTATATATATGTCAAGTATATTTCATTTTATACCTATCGCCACCTCCCCGTTACCACCACACAGCTATAAATCAAGTTAATAACTCAACTTATATTGCCAACCAATCTAAGCAACTTTTTGAAATACACAAATATTGTAAATTATATACATATATATATATATATACTGAAAAAAATTTCATAAAGATCGATCAAGAAACAACAAGTTATATGTAACTGCGCAATTGGATGGGACAGCTAGCGAATACTTCAAGACTTTCTGTATACATGTACAACAGCATGGTTATTGCAACTTTTTCCTGTAATGCTATTTTAGTTTGTTTTTTTCTCAAAAGTACTTAATTATTGGTGTGGCTGCTGAGTAGAGGCATAGCAAGTGGTGGGGTCTGTTGCGAGTTCGAGACCTACCCGGGAAAGTATTTTTCTCATTCTTTTGGCAGTTTGACTTGCCAAATAATAATGCGATGTTTATTTAATGAATTCACTTTTTAATCCGACTTCAAAACTATGTTAAGTAATTTTCTCTCGATCTTTCAGCTTCTGAAAGCGTATTGAGGACCTATCTTCAGAGACAAAATATCGAAACTTGTTGGTAATTGCAGTGCACATCTGATTCGTAAATGAATAATTCTATACAACAGAATATTACATGAGATTTTTATATAACAATATTTAAATACAACTATGCACCAATCACACCCGATTTGCGTTTAACTTTAGCGATTATTAAAAGTTATTACAATTCAAATACTAACGAAAACAAGTTATTTTATTACACATGGCCGGCTCAACCTATTTTAAAATGTTTATTATAAAAATCATCAATCAACACGTGACGTATTAAATTTGACGGTGGGGCTTTTTAAATCCTAAAAGACATGCAGTTGATTTTGAACACACTCGTACCTACGTTCAACATTTTTAAGTCTAAAGCTCTCCGACCGACCTTACATGAGGGCAGGTGGACGAGATCTAAGTTCCTTCCTTCTGCCTGTTAAATAGAATTGTACAAAAACAGTATATTCTTATTACTCATTTACGAGTTCAGGGTATAAATAGACATAGTTCTGATCTTACAGAGCTTTTTAATTACATGACTGTGATAAATATCTTTTGATTTTTATTATTATATATGTTAACTCAGAGTTTGTTGATTCGATGCAACATGGTTAAAATTGCTGACCACGCGTCTGCAACATTTCCGCAGCTGAAGCTAAGAATTCTTTGGAACTTAGAGAACTTAGAAGCTACCCGCTGATATTACCACCGTTATTGCCACCGTTACCGTTGATAGGTTTCATACAGACATAGATTTTACTTAAGTATCAGTTCTCCCGCAAATAAGATTTATTTATTCAACAATATTGGAAGTAACTGAGACGTTCCCAAGATTTCTTTATTTGAATATAAAGGGTAACTTATATATTTTTTTGATAAGTCAAGCAAAACACGGGGCATGTACCTGCAACAGAATTTACTTTTTGTTACCGCCTTTGATGAAATCGATATTTTTGGTCCCTTATAACGCAATGGATTTATAAAAAAAAGTTGTTTAAAGGAGTTTATAAAAAAATATATTCTGGGGTTGGGTGATTATATTTCCCACATATTACCCATTTCAAAGATCTAAAATGAGTGCAAATTCAATAAATATACACCGAATGTTTTCACGCGGAATTTTTCACACGGTTTTAATTTAACACGGTTATTTTCTGGAACCAATTTACATTGTAAAAACAGAATTAGGTGCACTTACAATTGTTTACTTGAATGGTGTACGGTATGATAATGATAGTTTAAGATAATATCAAAAAAATAAATAAATTGAACTCGACATAATAACAGACAAACGAACTCTTGTAAACTCACGTTCGCGCATACAAACAGTTCGAGTGCGTTTCTTCGTTAGACAGTCGCGCAGAGACAATGGCCACATAAGCAATTAGCCAAACCAGCTTGCACATTAGTACTAATGGCTAATGGAATCTTTATTCTTTGGATTGTTGCGAGCTCATACAAACAGAGTGATCTTTTGATGGTACTACCAAAGACAATATAAACACTGAATTTTAGTCACTTTATGATCAGATACACCATATACTAAGAATTTGGAAAAGGTTTCTTATTGGGTTCATATCTGGCACATTGGCTATGACAAAATAGTTAATTTTGCCATTGTGACCATGCTTGGAGAGTCTCTTGCTAAGCAGAAAATTCAAACGCAGAATCTCTATGTACTCAGAGGAATCAATGCGAGTACTTGGAAAGGTTAACTTCAAGCAACAATCACAGAAAGCACTCTTAAAGCATAAGGGAACAGCCTTCAAAGTTTCCTTTTGAAAAAAAAATATAGTCCGCAACGCAAAAGATTCGATTATTTGGTGCTAACAAAACCTTTAGATAAATATACACATTTTTCAGATTTGTGGTCATATTTTTATCTACAAATTATAGACGAGCTGTCTTGTGATGGTCTAGCAAACTTGTAGTAGATTTAAGATTTTGTATTTCGATCACTTTGCACTGCTTGAAAGCATATGTAATGGTCCAGCTGTACTCCCTAAGCTAACAGTCAAGGGCAATTTGATTGGATGTCTGCATTTAGTTTTTGCTAACATAATTTATTAAACATTGCTTGTCTCGGTCAGAAACTTTTGTTTTGACTTGTGCATCGAGATCCCCTCTCTGTAAAATGCACGTATTTTCCCTCATTCCTCGTCAGTATGGTATAATCCACGCGACACGTTCTTATTTTATTAATTTTAACTGAATATTTAATGCAAGCAATTATTTAAATGAATCTGCTTTTTTTAAACTGCCAAGAGCTGTTAGAAGCTGCTTCATATTTATAAATGGGATTTTTCTGGTGACTGGATCAAGGAAAACGGGACTTTAATACCGCTTTAAATATCTCATTTCCTTGTCAATTCCATTGTTGGTGGGAATCTAAATGGCTTGAGAATGCCACTCGGAATTTAATGTTTTTACCTTCAATTGAGCTTAGTATTAAAAACAGTAATAAATCCAGTTGACATCTTGCCTTAACTCCTAAAGAAGTAAGGGTGACTTGCAATTTTCAGAACGGAATGGACGAATAGAATTAAAAAACTCTTGCGCCTCTCTACCGTGTAGTGTAGTACATCACAAGGTAAGCCTACTCCATATTGGTCTGACAAAGACCTTTGCGTAGGTATATATTTATTGACCAAAAACAATCAAGTCCATTTTGTTCAAAACTGTGCAATGCTTTCGGAGAAGAAATTTTTATCTTCGAGCAACAGCATATTTCCCTGAAACCCTTCATCGACTCATATGGATTCTTCCGAGTCAGAGGTTCGGAATCAGGGAAACCCAGCAACATAATCCATTATCAAAAAATTCTTATTTCGAAGCCTTCAGGGTGCCTATCATATTCGCCAACTAAACAGCTGAGCACTTTGACAACCATGATAAATAAGTCCTTCATACTTGATATTATAAATATTCCAAATTAAATCTTTTTTTTTTTAATATCAACTGTGAGGTATACATTTTGTACAGACCTTTGCTTTGTCATTTCAATTGGTATTTACAAAATTTTTTAATTAGGCACTGAGAAAGCAATATCCTTACGTAGAACAATAAATATATGCAAAAATAAAAAGTTAAGAAAAAATAGTTTAAATCGGTGAAATATAAGCTTACAAATTTATTTGATAATTTTCATTTCGCAAACAATTACTTCACAAACTGTAGATTTTATTCTAGAAGCTATATGTCAAGTTTGGCGACTCCAGCTCTTAAAACCTAGAGATTTGCGAAAAATACACGATTACGATATCAATTTTGAACGATTATTTGAAAACGGGGAAGTTATCGATTATCAGAAACTAACTCGTACTGCGCGGGCATTAGGAGGACCTAGGGTCGAAATTTCAAGTCTCCAGCGTATTGAGGACCTATCTTCAGAGACAAAATATCGAAACTTGTTGGTAATTGCAGTGCACATCTGATTCGTAAATGAATAATTCTATACAACAGAATATTACATGAGATTTTTATATAACAATATTTAAATACAACTATGCACCAATCACACCCGATTTGCGTTTAACTTTAGCGATTATTAAAAGTTATTACAATTCAAATACTAACGAAAACAAGTTATTTTATTACACATGGCCGGCTCAACCTATTTTAAAATGTTTATTATAAAAATCATCAATCAACACGTGACGTATTAAATTTGACGGTGGGGCTTTTTAAATCCTAAAAGACATGCAGTTGATTTTGAACACACTCGTACCTACGTTCAACATTTTTAAGTCTAAAGCTCTCCGACCGACCTTACATGAGGGCAGGTGGACGAGATC